ATATGCATATATATATATATATATACACACACACATACACACACATATATATCAAAAATTCTCACTTTTCACGTTTTTGGCTTTAAGGAAAAAATTATATGATTGATCCCCAGGGAAACACATTATTATATTATGGAATCATTTGAAGTGGGTTTCGATCTGAATTACTTCGGTTTCTCTAAAAAATATAATAGAAATCTAGAAAATAATAAAACAATTTCATTAATATATTGTTAAAAATCAGGATAGGTATTATGAAATTATTCAGAATCCATTCTGAATAATTTTATAATACTTGTCGTGATCTTTGAACGATAAAAATAATTTTCCAAAAAAAAATGCAATTAATGAAACTGATATCTATACAATTTTTTATCACAAGCAATAAGACTAACCGAAAAATTTTTATTACAAAAAGTAATGAAAACTCAATTTTAAACATTTAGCAATGTTAAATATTAATAGCGTATCTCTATTTTAAGTTATCTGGTAAATAAAAGATATTTTATTAAATCTAGAAATTAGATATCAATTATTAATCTGTTATTTAGCTCAATCAATTCAAAATATAATTTTATGACATATTATTCTGAAACAATGAACCATTCATCAAAAATATATGTTGTACAAATTTCAAAAAGAGTCTTTTCAGCAATATTATTGAGAAAGTCTAAATTATATTTTATATTCCAAAAAACTATTCTATATTTCAAATAAAATATCCAAGAATATCCAAATTGGTCGAATAAAATTAATAAAAAATAATTTGATAGATTATACAACAAAAATTAACAATTATAACCTTTACATAAAGTTATATATTTTGTAACAAAAATTAAGAGCAATTAGTAACAATATTGGCAATGTTAAAAATTATATATCTTACAACTGAAAATAAAAATATTCTTCACGAAAGAAATTATATTCGGACAGTTGTTTCACCTGTTCGCATATTCGATCAGTGCGAAGGGGATCAGTTTTTTGCTCTCCATGTATTTAAACGCCGGAAGCAAAGAGCATGTGGTCGATATCGGCATACCAGTTTAACCAGTCTAACACTGCATTGATTCGGTCACCGAATACATTGATACGAAAGAATTGTTTCTTTGAATACATTTCCATATCCAAAGAAATTTACTGAAAGTATGAGGTACACATATAAATTGTGACACACAGAATATCATTTTCCATTTGATCTATTTGATCCTCGCATTTAACTGGATTTGCTTACAATCGATGAGAATGTATGATAAAAATATAGATTCGTCCCTATATAATAATCACAAAATTTACTCTGCTTCGGTCTTAAAAAAATTCACCGTTTATTTTAATAATACAACTCCCAATTGCCACGTGAGACTAACATACGTGTTACTTTCTCTAGTTTTGTATTGCGATACTTTTCTGAAATCGATTACATTACGGAAAAAACGAGCGCGCATTATTAGTTTCTTCAAATAGAATTAAAGCATTTTTATAGACTCTATTTGAATAAGTCATTTAAATTTATTTAACGTTGTCAAATCAGCATAACAAATTTTTTGATGTACACTATATCCCGCCAAGTTTTCATTATATTAATTTGTGTTAATAATACCCCGAATAATAAAATTAAGATCACGTAATAAAATGGACTTGCAATAGAACAATAATATTAATTCAATAAGTGAGATAATGGTTACGTTTTGGCTTATAAATGATACTTCTGGCCTTTTAAAATCAATCGCTAGCTTATATCATTTCGAAAATAATTTCCATTGTTTCAACGAAAACATAGAAGAATGTATAGACTCTTATAATGGATATTTTATAACATGTTTTAAAAGAAAAGATATCTTTCGAATTTTTGAATACAGTACCTTTGAGTAAAGAATATAAAGAAACTTCATTAGAATGTGAAGAAAATAAGAAAACAAGAAGATATAAAGAAGATATAAAGACTGAAGAACATTCTCGAATTAAAGCAAAGTTTAATTTAAAATTATATGTAAGATTTTTAAAATATCAAGAAATTACAGTAATAATTATAACAATAGAAACAAACAGAGATGATTGAATGTTTTTTTTATTTTATGCTACAAAAAGAGAAGATTCTCTCCGTTATTAATTCAATAATATCCAAGTGAGAATTCTTGAATGGTTCAAAAATAATTCTAATTGCTTCTGACGAGTGCAAAATATCTTTGGATTTTCGTGCTTTTCCAAAATTATAATATCATAAAACGATCGGGCGAATCGTTTTGTTTCCGAAAGAAGATGTACATAGAAAATTACCAATTTAATAATCTCGCGAAACTAATTATTGACTATTGTTAGTTTTTTTCAATTGCAAAATTGCAAAATCTCGACAGCAAATTATAAAAAATCTGTGTCACAATTATAGAAATCGTGAGCTATAAAGGAAAGATGATTTTTAAGTGAAATAAATGGAATACTCGATTATTGCTTTATCATCAGTTTCACGCGAGCCCGAATAATCTGTGAAACCGACCATCAAAGTTGTATAATGTAACGAGCTATAAATTCATTGCTCAAGATAATCAGCGTAACAGGTCGACAAAGATCAGTCGTCGAAACCCGCTCAAGACCACTCTAACGATCTGAATGAACGTCAAACGCCAACGAGAACATCACGCGATCGTTAGCGGAAGAAAAGATTCCGGACATCAAAACGCGAAGCAGGCCGGACTCGCGTAACAAAGAGCCACGGCTTTGGCATTGTCGCGCGGCCTTCAAGAATCTAACAAGCCACAAAAAAAAATAAGTTCTGTTTTAAGAGCTCCTTATACGCTCCGCGTAACCGGCCCTTCTAACATCCGTACAAAGATATTTCGTCACTTTGCTCCCGTTCCCCTTCGCGTTTCGTGATTTACCCGCGTTCCCAGGGAAGAGAGAGAAAACCTCCAAAGGGGGCTAACTAACTCATAATGTCTACAAGTCCCACGGTCCAGCATCTTTGCATTAACAGTACAACAGCACGACTTCTTTGTCTTCTTCTCTTGCGGCCACGCTTCTCTTCCACGATTCACGCTTCGCCCTCTTTTTGTGCTCTCCGGTCTTTCCGGGGCCGGTTGTTCCGGTTATACACACAGGGAACCGTTGAGGTCTTTGATTCTCGCTTCTGCTCTGTTCCTCTCAGCTACTTTCCATGCTGTCTCTCTCCATTCTCCTTCCGAAACGCGAGGATAATTGACATATTGTCGAATCACTAACGAAATCAAGCATTTTATTCAAGATCGCAGGCTACTACCAGCTGCTCGCAAGTGCGTATTGTTATATATTTCGTATAATCGTGGTAAGCAGTATTGCAAAAAAACTTTGAGATTTCATGAGAACCACATGGCACGAGCGAAAGATTTCTTGCAAATTACACGTTACAATCATCATGCAAAATTATATATTACAAAAATAAACATAAACTTGTGCTTCACAATATCTCGTATTATTTCTGGAAAAAAGGAAGATAAAAAAAAACGTGAATCTGGTAGAATTTTCCAGGATCATTCCTCAAAATTATTTCAATTCCGGTTCACCGACGAGATGTATTAATTTATCTGTGATCACATTATTGCAAGATATTTTCTTTGGCAACTTCCAAATCTTCGCAGCAAGATGTCAAGTCAAAGTCATTCCACGATTATCGTCTCCAATGTAGGAAGAGGAAAAAAGTGTAGTTTATAAGGACAGATACGCTTTGACAATAAATCAGTCGTTTAATTTTTGAAAATATTTTTCAGACTTTTTGATAGCTGCCATGACCTTTAAATCTTGTTTCTTGGTTATGCGATATGAGTCTTTTTAAAAAAGGTATAAATCAGAATAAGTCTCTCTCAAACAACAGATAAAATGATGAAAAGAATCTTTTACGTTGGCCAAGATAAAAATAAAATTTATTTGGAAACACTCGACTACATTCATGTTTATGAAAACTCGAAACTGATTCAAGATTCAAAGACAGTAATTATATAATATCATTATTTGGGGTAATCGGTATCTATTAGACGAATTGCTTAGAATGATCGAATTGCTCTAAGAAATTGAGTATACAGACAGACTTCCAAGACCCATTTCGTAAAAACACGAGCAGTAATTCACTTGATGAGTACAAAATCCGAAAAATTTGTCCGTCATTTCGATGCAGAATTTAAAGTTTCACATCTAAAAGCTATTTATAAAGACGAACGTAAAAATAAAATGTGCTAGAAAAACAGTTTTTCTCTTGAAATTGGAATAACTTTATCATTGTTACATTGTTGTCAGTAACGATCAAAAACAGTAATAAAATTTAGTGAAATCAAAGTATATACAAAACTAAATTACTAATTGTTCACGAAAAAAGAAAATTAAATGGAATATTGCATTACAACAAAACTGAAGATGAAATTGACAAAAACTGAAGATAAAATTATTAAAAATGATATTTGCCAGATATCCGTTAAATGTTGATTCTCAATCTGATTCAAAATTTCAAAGAAAAAAATAGACTTTCCGACATTGTACATAAATTTTCTACGTCAACATTTTTCTTTAACACAGCTAAATTTTCTGAACATGATATAAATTCATCGTGAAGTTAAGCGTCGCGAAGTATTTTCTGAACAAAATGCAAATCGTTTACATATTACAAAGAATGAACGGATGTAAGTCTAAAAATATCATCGGATCATTCATCATTTACTGCAATCTCATCAATAATACGCCGGTACTGATTAAAATTGAATCGAAATTCCTTGCCCATGGAAACTCATTGATAGGCCAAAAGACGTACAAAGGCGTTCGCGAATTCTGAAAAGATAAGAACAGCAACAAATAGTGAAGAAATGTCTATCTTTTGATGTCTATCTTCAAAGACGACGCTTGGCGACGACTGCACGCACATTTTTCGAACCTGCACTAGCTAATACTATCCGAAATCTCAAAGGGACTACTTTATTTAGCGACACTAAAGAGCATTTGGTAGAAATCGGTTAGATTAGAGTTTCAACGCACGGAGAAAGCGTGAACAACCGGCCCTTGTGTGTTTTTTTCGTAGCTAACGCTCACACCCTTCCAGGTCTCACCACTCGGACGGCCCGGGAAAACGAGGCAGCAACAATCAAGGGCAATCAAGGCATCAATCATGGCATCAACCAGTCGACGGAACGGCGTGGGAGGATCAACATCAGCGAGTGCAGCCGGAAACCGATGTCAGGCGGAAGCCAGCTATCCGGCGAGGAGCCAAAATGAGTAACCGAAATGGATAAGGAAGTGTATCCGGCGCGATCTCGTTCCTCGATGATCGAGGGAGATCATCAGAGATCAAGAGCGACGATCGCAACAATTCTTCAATCCACCAAGCTATCTATTATATTTATTGCATCTACTGGGATTTGTTGAATTTATCGCCAACTATCGTGCATCATTCGTTTCAAGTTATCGCATTCACACATTTCGCACACAAGAGGGGAAAACAGGCTCTCACGTGTCTACCCGGCGAGCCTGAAGATATTAATGATTTATCTTGCACACTCGAAAGCGCCTTCGAACGAGACATCCTCGAGGCGTACACAAAACTCCGCAAGTTCTAGTATCGAACGAATCTTCCGGCATTCGATCTCAAGATCAAACCAGGCAATTTTTATTTTCGTTGGACCAACCATCTTCCGTCTCGACAACGTCTACGCCACACGCCAGACGGCGCACAATCGTCAATCACTCGATCTCCAACGCGAAATTTTCGGAAACTCAGGAATCTCCTGACTGACGGATGGCTGCTTCTGCCGTTCTCGCCGGACCGAAGAGCAAAAGCAACAAAATCGAACACTTTCAACGCAACACTTGGAGCATCGTCAAAAACAGCAAATACATCTGGAAACGTCACACATTTACTATCACTATTATTATTACTTCAAAAAATCAAACGCCGATGTTACTTTCACCCTCACAGCCAATACTAATACTAATGATAGTAACACTATCGACGAAAATTCTCTGAAATCAATAGAAATTTACGAAAATATCACACAGCGCGTGCATCACGCGACGCATTTCAGGAACGCGCAGTTTCATTTCAGGAACGAAAAAAAGCACACACTCATAACACGCACGCGCACGTAATTAGCGTGCTCCGCGTTGTTTCGCAGCGCGAAAAAAAAGAGAAGAAATTGCGAGAGTCTAGACTCTATCTCGCTCAAAATTGGATTGGAAAGGACAAAACGTCTCTCCTCACAAAAGGCTCACGGCATGGACGGAATCGTTCCTCCGACCTCAACCAGGCAACCCTTCGATCTATACGCCGCCACAAGCGCAAGTCTCGCACATCTCACAATTATAATTTTGCAGAGCATTTACCAAATGGTCGCAGCAGGACGCGCGATCTTTTTTCGTATGTATACGATTTACAGAAGGCATTACCGCGGACCGTACCGCGAGGAAAAAAAAACACTTCTCGTTACACTTCCCTACGTTCTTTATGCGCTGCGCCATCACCAAAGAGATACAACGTGATTCCAAGTTCACGTACGATTTATCGATGATTATTTTTTCATTAACTCTTCCCGGCAATTTTTACGTGAAACAGTTTCGCAAAACCATTTTTGATCATTTCACGGTTCAAACAGGAGACAATCGATTAACGTGCATGTCAATCAACGACATGCAAATTAAGGCTTCAGAGCAGATCAAAAGCGCCAAATCGCAAAATCGGTAATCACGACGTAAATTATATCGTGCGGCCAAAACAGTGCTGCATCGATCTGAGAAAAAACGATCTTCCAGAACTCAACCTGGCGACAAAGAATAGAGGCTCTCGATCGAAATTCGTATGTTATTTCGGATCGACGAGTTAGCGCATCGTCAAATACCTGACCTACAACTTCTCGATTAATGATTAGAGAGAGAGAGAAAAAGAGAGAGCAAACAGCAGCGCTCCAAAAACAGACGATCTCAAAAGCGACCCGCGCAAATTTCACAAGCAAAATCCACAGGGAAGTGAGCGGAAAGATTGACATTCAAAGCAAATGTCATCCCTAAATCAACCGAAATCGATCATTAATCGAATCAATTCATATCGAATCCCAAAATCAATGGAATCAACAATCGAGCTAATATATAACGTTCGTTTGCGAATGACGCTATGCAAAACAGTACACGCGGAGTCCTTTTTGGTCCAATCCAAAGATACTCTGAAAACAACCAGAAATTATCAGCAAAATCTGCGAATAAACTTTCACAAAAAAAAAAATGAACTTTCGCACGCGGCTCTGTAGCGGCGTAAATCAACTATCTCATTTGAAAAATTACGTCCAACGAGCAAAAATCACTTCAGGAACACGAGACAACCGCAAAATACCGCCAGAAAACAAGAATGGCGAGAACCATTTACTCGGAGCAAAGCAAACTCAGAGAGAATCATTTATTCTCCATTACTTCAATAAACTCTGTACTCGGTCACAAATTCGACACGAATCGCACGAAGATTCGAATCTGGATGAAGAATAGAATTTTACATCGAAAAGCATTCCGACTCGAAATCTCAGGACAAAAATCGCTATCGCGGACTTTTCCAACTGTGCAAGAACCTCGACAAGCTAAACAGAACCTAACTATCTATTAATCGACAACGATGTTTTATTTTTCTCCTGTCAAGCAAGAAGAGCTCGAGGAATCAAGACGAGCAAAGGACTAATTATGTTTTATGGAAATTCATCGAAGAACTTATCCTCGGATGACAACTCTTGGACATACACGGATAATTGCGAGCACCAAATCATAGCGGAACAACATGGGACACAGTCATTTGGGTCAACAAACAACGCGGACGTCGCGGAAACATCGTGGGACCATCAGCAAAGGTACTATCCCTTGTTCTAATCGTACAATTTTATCCTAGATTATATTTAAGTCACTAACGATATCGATCGAAACTTCGTGAATATTAACTTAAAGCGGAAACTATATACCGTAAAAATAGATCGTCATAGTTCTGCATTTGGGCACTTAAATCCTTACTTAGTTATGTATAAAATTCTCGTAGACTTAGTTTATTTATTTTTATTTATTTTCTTTTTTTAATTTGTCCGTTATTTTTATTTCGTTCGATTTTATTTTGCCT